CTACCGTATTTTGTTGCTATCTTGCTGGTCTGTAAGAATAAGCCAGTGTAGTATAGTGGTTAAGAGCGCAGGACTGTGACTCAAGCGATCTGGATTCTAGTCCCCCCTCAGCCACAAAGTCAACTGGGTGACCTTGGGCCAGTAACAGACTCTCGGCCCAGTCTACCTCACATGGTTGTTGTTATGTGGATAAGATTGAGAGCAAGAAGAGCAGAATTATGTAATCCATTTTGAGTTCATTGGGAAATAGTGGGATAATAATCTAATAAATACATATAAAGAATGGTTCTGGGCCATTCTTTGACCAGAGCATTTCACCTTCTCAATTCCAATAAATTTATCAAATCCAGAATTCAGTAACAGGAATATACAACTTCCTTCCAGAACCATTCAAAACACCCCAGAATTATTGTACTGGAGTTGTTTTCTTACTCATTTACTTGATCATTCAGCTGTCAAGCTTTATAGAGAATTAATAACACATTTTTCCTGTTTGGTCATCTTTTTCACTAGTATGTGACACTGATTGCTTTAATACCTTAAACTGATTAAATACCTTGTAACCGGTTAAATAACTTACTTCTGTGGAGAAAGGACGCTCTTAGGAACGGAAAATCATGAGTCATACTGGGTGATTTCCTAATAACTTCTTGTGAGGCGCTGCACTATTGCAGCAATTCTAAATAGTTACATTTTTCAGGGTTACTTTAGAGCTTGAAAGAAATGAGAAGAGCATGCTGTGAGTTGGTAGAGATGATACGTAGCTGATTTGGGCTGTCATGTAAATCTCAGCAGGAGGCTATACCAACTACATTTTACCACACTTTCTAATATAAAACAATGTCCTATGTGTGCTTTTTTAAAATCCTTTCCAGTTCTGAGGATGGCAGTGATAGGCAGCTTACTAGCTTGGTGACATGCCCAGTTAAATTCACTTTTGGTAAATAACCTACTGTATTCACCAACTGCCTACTCATGGAAAATCCATTTTCTGTGAATATTTGCCTTGATCCACCAGCAGGAGAACAGCACTTCCCCTGCCAATGAACTTGGTCATGTTCCCACAACATCTTTGAAGAAGACTGTTGAAGAGCGGTCTCATCTTTAAGAAGCAGCAAAAATGCAAAGTTCTGCTGTTCCTTTTCTTCCTACACTCACATTATGTGTGTGTGTGTGTGTGTGTGTGTGTGAGAGAGAGAGAGAGAGAGAGAGCGAGAGAGCGCCAGTGTGGTGTAGTGGTTGAGAGCTGGGACTGGGACTCAGACGATCTGGGTTCTAGTCCCCGCTCGGCCATGGAGCCAACTGGGTGACTTTGGGCCAGTCACAGACTCTCAGCCCAGCCTACCTCACAGGGTTGTTGTTGTGGAGATAAAATGGAGGAGGAGAATGATGAAGCTGCCTTGAGCCCTTTGTAGGAAAAAGGCTGGATATAAATCGATAAATAAATAAATAAATAAATTATATTGAAGAACCCAGGAAAGAGACTCACAGCTGTCCTGTTTAAACCTCAGCATGCAAAGACGGAGAATGATGGCATGACAGCTGGTCCACCTTTCTCACTTGGCACCAGACGTCAGGCAGAAAGTCTAATTTAATCTGATGTTAATTCCAACCTGTTGTAGGAATTTATTAATCGTGTTAATCTTTAGTGTATGTATGAGGCCCAGAGTGCAGTTTCTTTAAAACACGGGGTTGGAAAAGAATCCCCAAGGTTTTAGACAGTTACAGGCAAGGGACACAGCTGACATGGCAAGCACCAGAAAACAACAATGTGGGCCATCGGGATCCACTGAAAAGGTCAGAAGGAGCTGGAGAACAAAATGCTTCCTCAACCTGATGCCTTCCGAACGTGCTACACTACATCTCCCATCATCTTCCCATGTATACCTACCTGCCCTCTAAGATCCGCTCAGGAGGCCCTTCTGTGAGAACCACCCCTCAGGGAGGTGAGAGGGATTGCGATTAGGCAAAGGGACTTTTCCGCTGCTGCTCCCCATCTCTGGAACTCCCTCCCTGGAGAAATTGGCCTGGCGCCATTGTTACTTCTTCTTGGGGCCAAGCAAAGACATACCTTTAATTTTTTTTTTTAATACTTAGCCTTCATGAACGCTGTGGCCTTTTTTATATGGCTATTGTATTGATGTCTTTAAACTTTTAAGTGTTTTAATAGGGTTTAATGTGTTGTGTGTGTATAAGCACATATATGTGTGTGTGTGCTTAATATGTTGTAAGCTGCCTAGGAAGGCATTTTGGCAACTATAGGTGGCCTATAAATATGTGAATAAATAAATTTTAAAAGTCCATGGTCAACAACTGGCTGAAGATAACAGAATTACAAGTTAACACAACTAGAGGTCACAAAGATGGAAAAGACTGATTTAAACAAAGGCACTTTGTGTTCTTTGTTTGGAGACAAACTGTTTGGCAGCCAATGGGACCGATGACTCACATCTAGGATTCCTCTACACAAGTTAGAATTACTTGGTTTTATTTTCATTATAGGGAGAATTGCTGCTCATTTGTGACATTTTTTCTTCTTTTCCATAAAATGTTTAATTTATGGTTCAGCTGCAAAGACCTGACAGGCATTGGAAAATGGCTGCCCAAAAAGATACTGGAAAATTATTTATCATAGCACAAAATGTTTAATGGCCTGGAATGTTTGTGCTTTGAAAGGAATTTTTATGTCTAGTGTCTAAACCAGCATGGAAATGTGAGTTCTGACTGTTTGTTTCATGCCATTGAAGAGTATGTGTGGTGGAGGGAAGCATTTTACTTGGACCGTTGACCCTCCTCTACTGCCCTCTTAGAAGAGAGGTAGACTTGAACTATGGTGTGAAAGGCAAGAAATTCAATGAGCAGTAAAACAAAACAAAATCCCAAAAACCTACTGAGGCATGAACTCCTAAGCACTTTTCTTATAGTTTCTCAAATATGGTTTAAATGGGGTGGGGTTGGGGAGAGCATAATCTTTTAAAAATGTATGTTGGGTTATAGGACAATAAAAGTCTTCTGTAGAACTAAAAGTAATGGTATGTCATATACTTCTTAATGCTGAGCATGCATAGATACCAAGAAAAATGCAGTTTGGTATGTTACACAAAATATAGAACGAAAAGGGACAGGATGAATATCATGACCTGCTACTCCCACCACTGCCATCCAAGTAACTTATGTCGAAGTTGTTCAGATTGCTGTGTGTCCTCCAGTTATGGTACTTTTCAGAGCTCTGCTCAAAGTGAGGAAAGGAGGAGCAAGGATAGAATGTGATGAACTACTGCTAAGTTCCATGCACGTATTTGAAACTGGGTTGTAAGTATGCAGGTAGGACTCTTAAGTGCAAAGGGTTGCCTCTTCCAGTCTAAAACCTTGAACAAGCCAGAATCACAGTCATACAGTAGTTCTGATACCCTCTTTTCCAGGGGCGAGGAATGATTTTTCTTTCTTTCTTTCTTCTTCTTCACTCTGAAAGGGATATATATGTCCTTGTGAAACCTTCCAAGTGTGCCAGGAGTGGGCATAGCCTAAGCCTAAAACAAACACAAACATGGCCAAAGATAAGAGTGAAGCCAAAACAACATTCTCTTTTTCATTTCTGTTACTTTCAAAAGACCCATTAACACAAGATCAGGGGGCAGTGGACTGAAAGTTCCCCCCCCCCCCACCCCAGTCATGTGGATCTACTGCATGGATTCTAAAGAGGTGCAGTTCTGACACAGCTATGTAATGTGCCTTTCTCTGGTACAAGTTGCTCTGACCCAGTATCCTAATTTGACACTGCTGGCATCTAGGTGTTTCCCCTTTTCTTTTACAGGGACTTTAAAATAGGTCTCTGAAAGGCCAAAGTTCAGCCCTGGGCATCTTATTGTAAAACATACACTGATACACTTCTCAGAGGAGAGTTTATATTGTGACTGTAATAGATTATGATTAGCATATTTGAAAAAAATCTGCGACAATAAAGAGTTTTAACTTCCCACTGAAGTTTATTAGTGGGCATGATATAAATTGTTAAATTATTTGTATTTATAGGATTTTAAATTTTTAGCCGAGATGCACTGGGGGTTTTAAATAATTTTTTTATTGTTATATTGTTACTTATTTATGTATTTTGTTTCTGCTGTGAGCTGCCCCGAGGCTTCGTTGCGATGGGGGCAGCATAAAAATGTTTTAAATAAATAAATAAATAAATAAAAATATTGATTAATGACTTAGTTAAAAGCATTTTTTTCTAACAATGCTGTTTTTCTCAGGTGGTTTTGTAGCTCATGTTTTCTGTAGACCTTTGTAATGCATATGTGTGTTCGTGTCTTAATACTGAGTCTTTATATACAGTTTAACTGTTTCTCAAACTGTGGAACCTGCACTACAAACAAGTTCCACAGAGTTGGAGCAAGGATATTGGCCACTGATATCCAGTGTCTAGTGAACATACCAGGCCCCAGTAAGGCACAGAGTTTGGACTGGAACATGGGAGATCTGGGATCTAGTCTCCACCACAAAGGTGACTTTGGGCCAGTCATTCACTCTCAGCCTGGTAAAATGGAGATACGGAGAACCTTGCAAGCTGCCTTGGGTTCCTTGCAAGAGGAGGAAAGCCAGGTTTATTAAATGCAATATAATAATAGAGAATATTTGGATGGAAGAAAGTGGGTGGATATTTCTCCAATTCTGCCCTGTCAAGGACTGTCTTTTAGAAAATAAAAAGAAAAAAGACAAGAGCCACCAAGTATAGCATGTGTAGGATACTATAGTATTTATTTCACACTCTTTCTAGGGTATACATAGGTGGTTACTTATGGTTCCCTGATGGATTTCCCTTGAAATGCATTTTGTGGCTCCAGACAGTTCTGTGTGGTAATTCTTTCCATCATACCTTCTCTTTTCATAAACAGATGTAGCTGATTTTTAATAGAATTTTGGTCCTTTCACTCTGATCATGTTTGTAATACTATCTTAATCATTACTCATTGATCTCTTTGAAATATTTTGCCTTTCAGCCTGGAGCCCGAGGGGTACAGAGAACCCGAGTGATTAATATGAACCACTATGCTAATAAGAAGAGTGCAGCCGAGAGCATGCTGGACATTGCTTTGCTGATGGCCAATGCATCCCAGCTGAAAGCAGTAATGGAACAAGGGCCCACCTTCTCATTCTATGTTCCACTTATTGTCCTCATCAGCATTTCACTTCTGCTTCAGATTGGAGTAGGTGTACTTCTAATATTCCTTGGTATGTACAAATTATTGCTGATTTTGTGCTGATGTATCTACCCTATCTCCTCTGCTCAAGCTTTCCAGGGTCTTGGGCATTGTTCTTTTGCAGCCCTGGAAACCAAGTCCTTTTAAAAAACGAAATACTGGGGATCTGACTTACGACTTCCCCTATGCAACACATGGGCTCTAGATCTTTTCCTTTCTAGTTTTGATGTGTTACTAAATAATAGTAACACCATGGAGTATACAGAAAGTGTTCTAGATTTGTGGGCAGTGGTTTAAGCCTTATGTAATCAAAGTAAAACTCCTGTAGTTCTGATCCAGGCACATATCTTCTGAAATAAGAAGCACTTCTAGACAACCTAGCAAAGAAACTTTGCAATTTTTAGGTCATAACTGGTGGGGGAGGCAGGTATATGTATCTGAGCATCCTGACATGTGCTGTATTAATCTCAGATGCCTTATCTGACCTTGGATATAAAAAGTAAGACAGTAAAAGTACAATCCTGGACATGTCTACTAAGAAGTAAGGCCAACTGAGTTCAATGGGGTCTACTCCTAGATAAGTGGGTCTGGATTGTAGCATAAAACTATTAAATTTCCTGAAAGTTCATATGTTTTGGGAAAAAGATACTGAAAGATTGTTCATTCATGACCTTTGTTTCTGATGAGTAATTTTTAGCTCAGGAAGTATATAAAAATGGTCATTTCAACCCCAGCATTTATACGCTGAATTATACTTTTCTTCTACCAAGGTCATTGTGACTATTTTAACTACTCTGTCATTTTCCAGATATATAAATAGTATTCTTTTGAGTTACAGCACTAAGAAGAACACAACAGTATGCTCTTATTAGGAAATCAGAGTAAACACTTTGGAAGGTACTCATCCATCTATCCCTTACCTTGGAAAGGATAGTTATGAAGAAAAGACATGGTTTTGGTGCCATGCTTACGTACCCTTTCCCTTTTTTGGTGTGTGGGGGGATTCAGGGCAGTGCAAGTCCAAATGCTCACTGACCGTTTTCCCTACAGTATGATTTTGAGAGGCATTTAGGAGAAAGTGACAACTGTCCTGTTACTTTGCCAGAGGACGTTGGTTGTTAGTAAGCCTATGAATCTTAGGGCAAATTGAGAAGCAAAAATACGGTCAGCAGCCAGAAAGTCCTTCTTCATGCCCTTTTTCTTGCCTTTCAGACCAGCTTCCTGCTACTAGATTGAAGCCCATGGTCTCACTGTCCATCTTCTGTCGTTTTATATGCGGGGTGGGGGGAGGGTTGAATGGAGATGATCCTGGATTGAAGTTGACTGGAGATGATCAGCCTGCCTGGCAGTGCCAGAACTTTCTGCCCAGATTACAACTTTGTATTTAAAAAAGAGAGAAGACTGAATGGAAATGCCCTCATTTCAGTTGTAAATGTGCAGAAGATCTTCTTTTGGTGGCACTAGATGTTCATCATCCGTCCTATAGAAGAGCCTGTATTAAACATAAGAACTTTTTCATTTCTTTTTTGAAGTGTGAAAAAAAATGAAATAGATTAGTCTACACAATGACAGTGTGAGTTGGGATTACTATAATAAATGCTTAATAATACCTATACTTTGGAGCAGTTTCTAGTTTAGCTCTGTTGGGTGTACTATAATAATGAAATAGGATTACTGTAATTCTGAAAGCACCAAATCTGACATTAACTAGAAAAAGATTCCGTCCGTCTCTGTCTGTCTGTCTCTGTCTCTGTCTCTGTCTCTCTCTCTCTCTCTTTCTCTCCCCCTCTTCCAGGCCCTTAGTCCTAATGAATCATATATCAGAGGGGCACACACCATGAGCCAGGTACTCAGATTTCTCTCCTTCCTGTGGCCCAACTCATGCAAAACACCTTAACACCTCTAAGCTGACTCCTAGATCAGGTCCTGCCTATTTCATTGGGCATTTCTTGAATTCAAACGGTCAGAGTGACCTTGATGGCTGTCATTTGCTGTCATTTTCCAGTACTTACAGTTTCAGAGAACAAAGGAAGAAGGTGCTTATGGCCAGAACCCAAGAGACTAGTGTCCACTGTAAGTCTACAGTAAGTCTCATTCATGCAGGGCAGAAACTTTTGCAAAAGCACAAAATGCATAATCAAAAAAGGACACAGATTTGCATTAAATGTACAGGTGCAAATTTGTTCAGAAATACTATACTTTATAATGCAGTCCATCTCAGCTTGCTGGGAGAAACAGGAAAGCTTTCTGTGCATGTGCAGTCTGCTGTCCACTTACAGCCTGTGAATGAACAACTACCAAACCTCTGCTCTTCTTCTTTCAAGTTTTTTATCTTTAAACTGCACTTGTTCTGGACAGCTATTCAAGTTTAGATCTGCCTGCAGGGCAGACACTTATACACTGCAAAAAACACAAAATGCATAATAAAAAAGAACACTGATTGCATTAAATGTGCAGGTGCAAATTTATTCAGAAATAATTTCTATACTTTGTCAGGCAGTCCTTCTCAGCACGGTGGGAGAAACCGGTGACCTTTGTGTGCATGTGTGGTTTGTTGGCCACTTACAACTAGTTAATGAGCAACCTCCAGGCCTCTGCACTTCCTCTTTCAGATTTGTATCTTTAAATCGCACTTGTAGTGAACCACTCTTCAAACAGACGACATTTTCATAAAGGGGACGGTCCTCTGTAAAATAGGACACAGGAAACCCCACCCACCCACCCACTGTCCCATAATTAGCAGCCCCCCAAATCAAACAACAGGCTTCTTTGACACTCAGGGGATGTTGCAAAGCAGTTTTGGGTATAGCATAAGATGTCTGCGCTTCAAAGGAATACAGAAATCATCCTGAGGTCACCCAAGCCCTTAGGCATGGTCTTTGGGTCCCAATTCTTCTTCGCTTTGATCTTTACATTTAAAAGTCTGCATTTAATATTAAGCCATTTTACATTATTCCCAAATACATCATGATATTTTTCTTAAAATTGTCTTGAAGGTGAAGGTGTTTTTAAAAACCAGGTTTATGAATTAGAATCTGTAAAGTTGAAAATTTTGAAGCTTTTAATGACGTTTTCTTATTTTGTGGAAGACACTTTTAACAATAAAAATTAAAGGAGGTTGGGAGATAACCGCCTGCGAATGTCATCTTTTCCCACAGTTCTGTGGACAGATTGAGTTCTGGCAGTACTTTCAGGCTCAATCACTTTTATGGTAAGAAAAACAACTTGGACTCAAAACTGTCCTCATTCTCCCTCATCAAATTGCCCATGGAAGGTTGTTTGAGGAGAGCCTTAGCTCTCTCCTAATGGAGATCAGTTCCTCCAGACTTCATACAATTCCATACAAGGGGATGCATATTTAATATAACCCATTTATACATTTTTCAAGATGTGGAAGTAAAAATAGCCTCCTGTGAGCTTCATCTCTTTCTATCCAACTCCCTGTGCCCTTCAGCAATTCAGGCAAAGAGAAAATGCAAGCAAACAGTCTTTTACACAACCAAACATTTCAGTGAAAATAAGCATCACTTGCCATTTAGTTGAACAAATGTAACATTCCTTAGTTTTGAAAAGATAAACAAGTAGGAATTAATGGCTTATAGTGAGTTGATTTCGAGTTCTGAGGTAGAATGAATAGCAGGAAAGTGATGGTGGAGATACTGTAATCTCATAAGCTAAGCCTCAAAAGCCCAGTTGCAGCTACAGAAGTAGCAAGACTGGATAAAATAAAAAATGACAAAATGCCATGTAAAATTAGGAAAACCCTGCAGATTCTGCATTATATAGTCATATGGAAAAGTAATTATTTCCTTGCGTGAAAAATTTATTTCCCCTGCACTGCTTCCCATGTTCTGCACTGCTCGGCCCATGTTCATAAATGCTTTATCAACAGCGCAAGCAAAAAGCTTCCAGGAGGAAATGTTTTACTTCTTCACAGTCCAAATAGCTGTTGACATTTCTCTCATGAGATCGTTTGACTCAAGGTTTTGAAATGTTACTTCCTCAAGCTGACTTTCTTCTGAAGCGGTTGTTACAGAACCCTAATAATAATGCATCTCTGCTATGTAAGTTAATTGCTCCTCGGTGGTAAAAGCTTCTCTTTCATTCAATATTTTTTCCCTTGCAGTCAAATATGACCTTAATAACCCTGCAAAGCACACCAAGCTGGAGTTCCTCAATAACCTTGCGACTGGACTGGTCTTTATTATAGTAGTTGTGAATATCTTTATTACTGCCTTTGGAGTCCAGAAGCCAGCAGTTCAGCAAAGTAAGTGATAGAATGGTGAGCTGAAATCCACAATATTTTAGAGCAGGACTATTTGCAATTCTAGAACAGGTCTATCTTTTAAGGCATTGTGCATGTCTCCAGTTTTACCATTTCCTTGAGCATGAAAAGCTTTTATGAAGCTACTGCATTTTTCTATGCTATGAAGCAAAAACATGACATTAGCTGGGATGTGATGCAATGGCACTCTATGATTCAGCATTATGTACATAAGCCATAGGCTTGTGTGCTTCTCCCTCTTCTCGGGACAACTTCAGCTAACCATGGTTGTTCCCAGGTCACGTTTTTGCTTTGGAGAACTTCAAGATGCCATTTGTGCTGAGCTACTCAAAGTTCGTCCAGGTTCAGCGCAGCTCAGCACAAATGGCGTCTTGAAGTTCTCCAGCCTGTTTGTGGGCAGAGAAGTTGTTCTGGGAGCATGAGTTTCACCAAATTTCATGCAGAAAAGGAAAAATTCTCCCAGTTTCTCAGTGATATATGTCACCACACACCTTCTTTCTTTTTTCCTGAGAGGGTTTAGGTTTTGTGCTACTGTGCTGAGGTTGCTGTTCGTGCTTTGTCTTTCTTTTCTGTTACTCTGCAGTCTCCCTGGCTGCCTGTGGATTTTGATCCAACCCTCAGGCAGGCACCTCATACTTTGAAAAATGTTGTGGCTGAATCTAGTTCAATGAGTGCGCTGATTCTGCTGTTGGTGCAATGTGCAGGGCATGTCCTGGTGCTGGGCCTTGACTTGCCTACTGAAGTTTTCATAGACTCATTATCCTGTCATAGAATTGTATAAATCAAAAGAACTGGGTAGTCATAGGGGGTTTCTTAGATGGAATGGCGAAGAGATGTGAAACATTGTGTCTATTTTTATGTATGGATCCTTTAAAATACTTTCCCTTTTTTCTCCCCCTGCCCCTTTGCTGTCCAGAGACCTGAGCTTTTGAATTTTGCGGGGAGCTTCTGCGCCTTGAGCCAGTTTCTCTTCATGGAAAACGTGAAGAACCTAAAGCAATTCAAGCAAACATTTCTCTGACTCTTTCAGCTGAACTATTTACCAGGTTGACCCTTCTTTTTCATCTCTTAACCACATAAAGATAGTGAACATGTATTTTCGGGACCAAGGATCCTGGCATCCACACAACCCATCAGTATTGCATTAGAGAAGATTGCTGAGCAAATCCTTTCTCCAGAGACTGTTGCTCCTTGGCTCCACTGGCAGCTCAGAACTCCTTGCTTCCTGAGTGATGCCAGGCAGAAAGAGGTGCTTTCTACACTTGAAAGGAAGGGTTTCACATCAGCCCTTCCAAATGATGCAGCGAAGGGGGGCGGGCAGGGTTGTCTGTCAATACTTTCAGAAGCCTGTCTGCTTTAAACGGATAATTTATGTAATCAACCAACCAGCTGAACATGTTGATTTTTGAGGAAGAACAGCAGTGGGTGCCCCCCACAAGCCAAGGTTCAGAGTACCCAAAGCCGGACAAGTTGCTTTGGCCCACAAGGCAGGAAAATCCTGCAGGCACTTCTTCCCTGTCAGGATGAATGCAGCGATAACTAATTAAATAACTAATTGTATGCGCCCTTTTCATGACATGCAAAATTTACTGCTTGGGGCAGTCATCTCACTCTGATGTTAAGGCAGAGTGTAGTTTTTGTTTGATGTATGTAGTTTTTGTTTAATTATATCATTCCAGATACATTTGTCTCATATTTGGGAGGGTTTGGGAGATTTTTCTCATATTTGGGAGTGTAGAAAAAGGTGCGCACAATCAGTGTGTGGAAGTTTGGGAACAGTCATCTTTCTGTTCAGGGAAGGCCACTTAATTATTATTCATTATGCTTCATAGCTTAACTGTGTCAATCCAATTATTCCAAAAGGACCAGGGTACATCTTGCAAACTTGGTTCTTGTTAGAATAATTTTTTATCCATTTATGTGAGTTCCTGGGATCATAGTCAGCTGGAAAAGAGCTAGTGAATCCTTAGCACATTTCAAGATCTAAGAACATTCCTGCAGGATCAGACCAAAGACCTATCCAGTCTGCCATCTCACAGCGGTCAAGCAGGTGCTTGTGGCAAACATACACACAGGGCATGATGGTTCTACTGTGGTTCCTCAGTAGTTGGTATTCTGAGACATGGTGCTTCTGTTTCTGGACATAGCATATAGTCATCAAAACTACTATTCCTGGATATTCTTATCCACAATCTATTTATATAATCCTTTTCTAAGCCATTTATGTTGGTAGCCATTGTCCATTTGTTCCTTTTCTCTGGCCTGTCTTCCAGCATACAGCTCCTTCTCCACACTATGCATAATTTTTTATATTTCTATCATGCCCTTCCGCTTACTTTTTAAAAAATGCTTCAAATGTTTCCGCAAAGGAGAGCTTCTTCATAACTTTGGCTTCCCCTTTCTGTGTCATGTCCAGCTCTATAATGTCCTTTTGCAGGTTTCGAGACCAGAACTATTCACAGTATTCCAAGGGTGGTCACACCATGAATTTTACAGCAGCATTATGAAGTGATATTTTCAATCTTAATGATCGCCTAGAGATTACCACTTTTGATCAGCTGTTTCAGTCTTGTCTTTTCCTTCTGGCAATGGCAGCAACATGTTTGCCTGACCAAGACTTTAAAAAGGTATCACCCGTCAACCTATAGAGTTGTCTCAGTTTATAACCTCAATCAAAACATCACATTGGGTGTACATGCCTATGTGTTGGAAGACATGTCTTCATCTTGGTGGACTGTTGCATGTGAAGAACATACACCCCGGTTGTATATACAAGCAACAGAAATCAGTGGCCAGCAACTTCTTCCCAACATTAATACATGTGATTCTGTGTACCTGTGCAGGAAAAATGTTTATTTATTTGGGGGCTTGGGTAGATAAGGGGCGAAAAAGCAAAGTAAGACATAGTACTTCTCCAATCCCTTTCCACAGTCATCCAAATGCCATGTGTAAAATGGCAGTAGAAGACCCTTAAAGGTGAGCAACTAGTGGCCTTCCAGATGATGTTGGGTTGCAGCTCCCATCTTCTTTCATTATTGGCTGTGCTGGCCAGGGCAGATGAGAGCTGCAGTTCAGTGTGTGGAGGGCACATGTTGTCCATTCATGCTTTATGACTTCAGTAAACATGACTACTAACTTGTCTCTAGACTCTGAATACAAAAGGCCCATTGCCAGCCTTGTTCTTATTGACCTGTGATTAGTCATCATCTCCAGTAGGAAAGATGAGTGCACCCTACAGATCATGCTTATTTTTTCCTACTGTAATTTATTTTCCCCTCATCTTTCCTCAAGTAACTATGCATGGAAAGGATTATTTAAAAATATCTCTGACAAACACAGTTGAGTCCAAAAATATACTATAATACATACTATTGCTGTAGCACAAATATTTTAAGAAAATAAATCAACTATTAGTGCCATTTTATTTCTAATGTATGGTAAAATCAGTTGCAATCCATTTAACTTTCTCCTACATATATGTTTATTATATTCCTTTTTTCATTTTCACATATAATAGAAAAATGAAATGTCTGTAAGATATTATGGTTGGTAGTCAGATAGTTGTAGCATTTTCATTTACCATTTCAGTTGCTAAGTTGCTTAGTATTTTCTCTTGATTGTAAGAACAACAGATTTTCAAGAACAGGGCTATAATTTTATTTTCTGCTTTGCTAGTAGGAAAATAGAGGTCAAGAAGAGTATTGAAGAATTTTGATATTTCAGTGAAATCGTTATATTGTGATCTCGTTATCTAGCTTTTATTACTGATAAAAATCATGAGCTGGATCCAAGATTAGACATAGTTTCAGCAGACCTATTCACATACATGGGAATTAAGTACCTTTAGGTTTCAGTGGTTTGGATCCAGATTTTCACTGGATCAGCTGTGCTGATGGAAGTATTCTTCCCTGCCCCTTTCTTACCATGGCTGTTCTCCGAATCTGTAAAAGAGAATCAGGAGACCTTGCCGAATGGGGTGAACTATGGTGTAAGGGGAGGGGAGATGCTCAAAATCAGTAAAAAAAATTCTTTGAGCAGAGTCTTCCTTTTGTAGAAGGCAGATCCTGGATCCAGCTCTGGTTGTACTGCAAGTACAATTAAGTCTGCATTCAGCTCTGTGTGTTCTAAGACAGCATGCAGAAGTACGTCGCTTCCTCTTGTTTGGAGGGAAATGTGCAAAGGCCTACTGAACTAAGGACTGGTTTTGTTAACAGCTGTTGTACTTTCTCATTAATTACATCATAAGGAATGAGGCAGCAGATTCAACTAACTTGTTATCAGCATAGTAAAATATGCAAACCTTTGTTGCAGTGAATTTTGTGATGCAATTAGAGTTTTCACTTAGTGAAAAATACACTGCTCTACTGTGGCCTGAAGACAGTACAGCTCTGAGTGAACATTGTATTGATTAGTATTTTCTTTACAGGGTTAGTGAGAATATGGGCACAATCTTACATATACTTACTTGAGAGGCATTTATTTCCAAGTAAGGATGCTTAGTTTTGGCCTCAGTGCTCTAATTTTTAACACTGCAGTTTGCAATCCTCTGTGGACTTAAGTGCATTGACTTCCATGGACTCAAATGAGAGTTGCTTTCTATTGGGTTATGTAAATGAAGGTTTCAGCACTGAAGTGTGTGTGTGCAGCAAATGAGGGCGAGCAAAAGTCAGGGAATTGGTGCAGGCACACTGGGCATGGCATGTACTTTACTTGTGTTCAGTGCTTTAAAAGAAGTTGAATCAATGTTCCTTTAATTCAGCCATAAAGGGCAAAGATCTCAGCCTCTTGGGAAAAAGAGATGCTGCTTATCACCGGTGCCATTGAAGACGATCCCATTGATGCCTGGGACACACAAACAGCAAAGGAATGTGGTATTTCGGTAATCGAAGCCGTGCCTTCCGAAAGGATGTCTGCCTTCTTTTGAACAAATGTCTGACAGTTGTATGTCCGTAGGGCTACCAACTGATGATTTCAAAAGACCTCCAAGCCATGAGGACTCGGTACTTATATCCTGTGTGCCTCATCACAAACTCTATATAGCCTTATATAAATGCCCATTGCTGGATGCTGGATCTGAAATGGTTTCTGATCCTTCTACTCAGGTTAGGATCCTTCGTTTTTTTGTCCTTATTATGTTGGTGGTATTTTCATTATGAAGATGAATTTTATGTTATTGATAAATAAAACATTTTTGTTGGTTGAGTATATCATTCTTAATTTCTGCTCCAACTTTTGCTTGATTTGTAATCTTTCCTTGGTTTATGTCAGTGTAAACACATGTGGCTCTAATTCACTTTGGGACTTTGGCACCTTCCTTAATGTATTTTCATCTAAAATTCCAACCCCCACAGGTGTGGAGGGTGGAAAGACAGACAGACAGACAATTGTTTATTAGGGACTCCTGTTAGTGGTGCTGGTTTAAAAATGTGGCCTGGAAGCCTATTTCTGGTCCCCATGTTATGGGCATATTAAAAATAAATAGGATGCTTGGAGGTGCTTGAGTATACTTAAACATTAGTTTTGGGTCCTTGGGTGTATCATGTTTTAATATCAATTTAGGACACGGGGGTACTTGTGTATGCTTTAAACTGGTTTGGGGTGCATTTTTACAAATCAATTTAGAGTGTTGGGCTGCTGGTGGCCCCTTGGCGCTGCCTCTGCCTCTGCCTCTCTAACTTGCTCCCGAGCCCTGAGCAATATCAAAAGCTGCCTACCGACTTCTCAAATCCTTTAGCTTGTGCTACATTTTACATCTGATCTTGCCTGTAGAAGCATGCCATTTAGCCTCCTGTAATCCCTTCTCTGCTGGTATTGCCAGCTTCCCCACAGGCCCATGCTGCTTCATCCCAACAGCAACTGGAGCTACAATAAGCAAGTCGCTGGGTTTTGTAAAAAAAAAACAGAATCATACCGTGCAGCAGATTGCCTCCAAATTTCTTCAGTTCAGGTCCTTGCTAAATGCACAGCTGTAAGGACCAGTTGGGGAGTTGGCAACTCAGCTTCTGCTCCTAGTGCTTTCACCCTGTACTGGTTTGACAGGTCATCACATGCACTTCCCCAATTCAAAACCCAGAATCCTCTTTTTTCTAGCCCGAGGCAGACAGGCTACTGGGACTGGCAATGACTAGTCGCCAGTCATGCTGCCACCTCATCCTTCCCACATTTCTTACAGTATTTGCCTGCAACAACCCTGTGAGGTATGTCAGGCTGACAGTCAGTGACTGGTCCA